CATGTAATATCTTTTCTGTCAGACACTACTATAATTAAGTTCACGGGCTTACCTGAAAATCTTCATGGGAATCAAAATGTTTTCAATTTATATTCCTGTTCTGCTTTTCATTTGAGGATCACACAGTGTTGAACCAGCATTAATTATTTTTTTCCAGGAGGTTTTTTGACACAGACAAGAGCTGTTGTTCGAGAATAATAATTAATGTTGAGAATCATATTAAGATTGACAGTGTCTGTAGAGAATAGAGTACCAAACTGGGATTCACAACACCTGGTGCCTTCATTTTGGAGGATCCTTGATAGCCTTTTTCTGCTCCTCACTTTACTCATTTATACAAAGTCACTTTTCTTGCTGTGAAATATTGAAGACTAAGAAAATCTGTCAAAGAGTGATGTTAATATATGAAAGCTATTAAATATATTAAAAGTTTTCACCTAATGATTCTGGTTTGTAAGTTGAATGCTAATTTCAGGAACTTCTCGTTCTTGGACTCTAATAGACAACATATGTTCTTTTACACAGTGGCTGAATATGGGCGTCATTAATGAAGAGATTCTCTTTGTGTTTTTTGAACAAATTCCTTCATTGAATTGAATGAGTCTCATCTTGTGTGCTCATTTAGGACTATATGGAGCAGGGATAGCAGCTGAGAACTTGCTCCTGGGCTGTTTCTGTTTGGTTGGATTTTATTTTTTCCTGTAGCCAGATTTATGGCTTTGTCAGGAGCCCTCAGACCTGGAGGTAGTGGAAACTTGGCCACTGACATTTTCTGTTTCCTTCCGCTAGGTCAACGTGATTTTGATTTAGCTGATGCTCTTGATCATCCAGGTAAGTAAATCTGTTATCTTTATTTTGCTATGCCATTTATCCCTAACAATAAATTTTAAGCCCTTTTTCTTGAGAACTGGAACATGAAGAGGCTAGTACCTCAGTAAATGTATACAGGACTAGGAAATGCTATGTTTTTCATTTATAAAAGATTGGAAAATGCTGTTTGCTTTTGGTTTGTTGGTTGGTTTATTTTTAAATCAGCATTTCTGGCATAAACACAAGTTAAAAAAACAAAAAACATCACAGCTATGAAAATATGCCACTTCACCTCTAGTTTCTGACATGGTGCATGAAGATTTACTGAATGCAGCTCTCCACATTTACAGATACCTTCTTTTGATAAGTTAAACATTTTTTTAAGCTTTTATTGGTTTTTAGTATGTCATTGTGTCTCCCAGAGGACATAATTACCAGGAAACCTACAGTGATCAGAAGACCAACAAGAAGGCCGGTGCTGAGTAAGTAATAAAGATAGTGAGTCATAGCTAATTTCAAGTATGTAGAAACTGTCTCCCATGAGATTTTTGATCATATTTGCTAGGTACAGTAGCTGAGATCATTTGTGAGAATACCAACTTGTCTTGTAAAGTAAGTAATTTTTCAACAATTACCAGTTACCTACCTTCACTGCTTTCTATTAAGCTTTAGAGAGTGACTGACTATGGAAGACATTTTACTCCTAAAGATTCTCTTAATACTATCCTAGACTATATTAAAATCTCTGGAAAGTACAAAAATGTTTAACTGTCGCTTCTACTTTTTCCCCATTATATCTTTTTCTTTCTTTCTCTTAGCACAGAGATGCATAGTTCTTGATAACAAACTTGAAAAAGAATTAGAAGAAATTTGGTTACTTTTCATTCTCCCGGTGCATTTGTTGAATATTATCTCGTATTGATTGCTACAGTGGTCTGTGTCAGAAAGCAACAAAGATGACAACAGTAAGGAGAACGGAAAGGTTTTAGATGTACTTTGCAGGATGACAAATGATGATTTTCAATCAACACACTTGCTACTGTTGCCCCAAAATAACAACAAAACCACACATGTTTTTATGATGGAGTATTTTATAATAACATACACATTTTTCACACAAACTATCTTGAAACTAATTTCAGGGTAACAAAAAAATGCCATATGACACTAGCCCACATCCTTCAGTCTTTTTGTTCATAGACATTGCAGTAGGTCTTCTGGAACATGAAAACAGTTACATTTTACACATGATTCTCTGCCTCACTCTGAACAAACAGGACAGTGTTCTGTGAGTGTAGGAGCTACTAAATCTTCTAATGGTTACACTCTTCCTTCCCACTTGATTTCGCAAACAAAATCTGTTTGGCCTGGATTAGAAGCATCTCTTTTAACTGCTGATAAACTGCTGGTCTTCACCTAGCTGGATGTCTGGGAGCCCTTTAAAGTCAAGGGAGATAAATCAGCAATATAAGAGTGTTTTGTTTCTTCCCAAGTGTGGTTTTGCTCTCATTCCAATAGAGGCATTTAAGGTAGATTCACTGAATCATGCCCTAAAAGACTCTGTCCTCAGTCATGTCTAAAGGTAACCTAGGGAAGCCAGCTCAGATTTCGATGTGTACAGAGAAGCTGTCTGAAGTCAGGTGAGAGGACTTTCATTTTTTGGGGACTTTCAAATCCTTTTTGAGATGTGGCACTCAGATGATTACACAGCCTTCCTGTATCAACTTTACTAGCTCTTGGGAATGAAGCACTCCAGGTTTTTCAGAGCATTTTGGAATCCCTTTCAGCACTAAACAGGATTAAAGGGAGTTGAAATTTAAGTGAAACAAACAAACAAAAAGTATAAAAAACTCCATGACTGAATTGAAACAATATACAAAGGGATGATACAAAAGTGTATCTTAACACCTATGTGATGCTTCATCTTGACTTCAGGGTTTCATCTATATCCCATTCATCCCATATAATTGAGAAATGAGACTAGCTGATATGATTTTGGTAGAGTTGGAGCTATTTTTTGTATAAGCCACATCCTTTGAACATTATTTCCTCTGTCTGGGTTGAAGTTTTCCTGGAGGTATCTCTGAATTATTGTAACTGAAAATTCAATTGAAAATTTAATGGAAGTGGAAGGAGATGTGGATTTACAAAATCTCCAAACAAATTGTTTTTGCAGACTCACATTCACTCTCTCCTGGATTTCATTCACTCATATACTCCATCCCACATACACATGATCACCAAGGCATGTGCTCAAGCATTTGGGTCAGCATCACTTGTGTGCAATGTGGGGCAATATATGCCAGCTATCAAGTCATTACGCCTCTTTGATTTTACTTGCTTGGAAAGCTACTCCATGGACAGATCTTTTATATCCCTTAGGAATCATCAGTTATTATGGGGTGGCCCTTTACCTCTGAGTCTTGCATACTTCAGCCTCCACGAGCCCTCAGCCAGGTTGTTGTTTGTTCTTGCTTGTTTGGAGGACACAGACTGTCTCCACAGTCTGTTTTCTGGGTGGGCTAACAGGAAAAGTAGAGCTGTAGCCGATATGCTGCAACCCTGTGGCCATCCTCCTGGCCCTTGGGAATCTTCTGCATCTCTTCTCCTGACAGCCCATCTGTGCTGTGGTCATTTAGGAGCACAGATTGGTTTTGACATAAACAGCACATTCCTCAGTTTTACTGTGGAGAACAGTTTTCTAGGAATAGTATCCTTCTGTATCCATTCTGCTAATCCTTTGCCATGCTGTCTCTTCGGGTGTTTACAGACACACATTTCCCTTCATACTTCATTCATACCAACCTTAATGTTTTTGTAACAAACCAATCCTACGCCAATCCTCCAGAATTGAACCCTGCGTCTTACCTGAATTCTTAATCTTGATAATAAATTCAATCTCAATGAGCAATGTATGGCTTCTTATAGTTTTAGTCCTTGACAAGTAAAGGTATTTTTAAAGTGTAACTCTCTGTTGGTCGTACTCAAACAAGATTAACACCTGGCTTGACAAGAACAAAGTGACTCAGGTAATATGAATTTGATTATTTCCCTGCCAGTTTGCTGATGACATCAAAGTATTTTTGGCTAGTTACACAAATGTCAAATATGTAATGAGACTAGATGCTGTGCAAAAGCGGCTTCCTGCTCTGTCTGGATAGAAAGGACACATGAATGCAGACTTGTGCATGGTTGTGCATTTGGATGGATTAGCACAGCAGTCATATTCTGCTGACTTTTAGAGTTCTGACAATGTTACACTAAAACATATTTTGAATGAAGTATCTGTCTCATTTTCTGCAGCATGATCACGTTTTAAAAATATATGTGGATTTTGCTGTCTCAAAATTTCTTTGATTCATTCTACTTCTTCACATTTGTAATGGCAAGGAAAGTGATATGTGGAATTAACACATCCATGTAAAGTATTTCTGCATATCATCCTATAACCTTTCAGAGCTCACCCTCATTCCACACACATGCTAAAATATTACTCATGTATTTGTGTCCACACCTGCATGCTGGAGAAGGAGGTCCTCTTGTTTATACAGTTGCAGCTCACTGGCAAATGATTTTTGGAATGGAAAATTCCATTTCAGGTACAGTAAGACACACGTTCAGTGCCAGGGGAATGGCAATAGCCTGTAGATTTATTGCATAACATGCACATGCAGACTTTTAGAAGTATTTTGTAAAATCTCTATAGCTCAACCAAAGAAAAACTGGTTATTCAGTACAAAAGGGATATGATTCTGTGATTATCACCCAACCTTAGATACACACATACGGTCCCTTGAAAACTGGACTTTTCCTGTCTCCATGACCTTTATATAAATAAGTTAATGTAATTCTGTCTCTCTAATTAGGTTTATTGCTTCACAGTACAGTATTTGCTTTTCAAACGGGTATTCAGTTTTATCAGTACAGCAAGTTTTGTCTGATCCAAGCATGCATGCACTAGTTTTACAGAAAATAAGTATTAATAAATAAATATATTTTTTAAACAGATAAACACATATTCATATTTTAACATAGCTAAAGTATGGTTTTTACATATATTAAGGAAGTACTGATCTTGACAGCACTATTAGATTTATACTGAATTTGTTTACTTAAAGAAGAATGCATCCCTTATTTTGTGTGGAAAGTATGATACAATGTATCAATTGTTTGTGGATAAATGTTAATTTCTATTACAGTTTTCAAGAAAAGTACGATACTTCATTTGAATTTGCAGGCCCGATCTGAAAAATCGTTGCTCATCAAGCTTTTTTTAATACTATTAAAAATCAGCATTTCACTTCCTCCACCATTGTCCAGTACTTCTCTGCCTTTTCTTTTTATTCATTTTTAGATAACGATCTGCATTTAGGAGATGGTTTTGGTGGCGGTGAGTATTTTTTTCTTTTCCCAGATATAATATATATATTTTTGTCGTTGTTTTTTGGTAGGGAGGTGTTTGGTGTAGCCTTTTCCTGAAGTCCGCCCAGCCTGCAGAGCGACCTTTCAGGCCTGCAGGAGGGTTTAGCAGTGGGAGGCGTTCCTGCCCGTGTCCATGTCCGAGCAGGGCCTCTGCCGGGGGCATCACGCGGAGCAGGGAGAGGGGTCCGGGCCGTGCCGGTTTGCCAGCCACGGGGGGCTGTCGGGGGCCGGGTTTGCCCACGCACAGCGGCCGGCTGCGCTTCGACGCCGTTGCAGGCCCCGCTTGGCCATGCCTGGGGTAGGTGCTCGGCTGCTCGGCTCTGCTGACCCCGAGGTGGGAGGTGCTGGCGGAAGGATGAAGAGAACTTGTTGTTTCTTCATCTGCCAAAGATGAATCTGACTAAGATGAGGAACCAAAGGTAACAGTGTGGATAGAGACAGACGTGAGCTTGTTCCACCTGTGCTGACCCCAAAAAGAAGGACGTGTTCAGGGATGAGCACTGATAGATGTGATACAGCTCAGGTTGGAGACACAAGCCCTTGCAACCTGCCATAACATGCAGGTGTTACTGTAAGATCCAGATGTGATCCAGGTCATACTCACACTGTTGTACTAGGATGCATAAACATGTGACATACTTGTACCATGTCGTCAGAGTCTTTAGGGTCTTTGGAGGTAGCTGTATTAAGGATGTGAGGTACTTTGGATGGTTCTCGCATACTGAAATAAATTTAAGTACAGATACCTTTGGATCAAAGCATAAAATTCCACTTGAATCAAGGCTACCCGCAGGAAATACTACCTCACAGCTCTACAAAGCTGTAGAGAACTACTGAATTACAAAATCAGTTACAGCGGTCTGTTTTAGTCATGCTTCACTCCTAAAGAAGCATGCCTTTTATATAGTTTTTTCATTTCCAGGACTTCCATCATTTCCAGTTTGCCCTGTGTCATTTGATACCTGTGTTTGCATGGCATATTAATCTAAGCTTCTATAAATGCCATTTTGTTTTTATTTCCGATGTTTATAATGTCACTTCTTCCTGTTCATATCAATTGTTCCACTCCTGAATATTTTGACTGTATACTTTTTATTAGGGGGTGTTGGGCTCTATTTCTTCACCCTATTTTCAGTTCATGCTTTTAATTGGCATTCATACGTGGTATAATGGGATTAATGAAATGTTCTTAAGATGTTGTTTTTCACTAGTTGTAACATAGAATATATCCTATTCAGTTTAGAGGATTTAGTAATTGCATCCTCATAATAGAACTGAGTAACGGCATTTGTAATTTTCTGCTTTTGTGCCAAGGTGGGTCTTAGAAAATTACATAGGGTTCTGTGATGGAACAAATCTTTTCTTCTGTTAGGTAGCAGTAATTGGGAAAAGAATGATTTGGCAAAGCTTTCAAGAGTGTACCTAAAATCCATTGACGGCAGTAGGCTCAAATTTAAGAATATATTTAAATATTTTGTTTAAACAGAACCTGAGAGTTAGTCACAAGCAAAAGCATTACATTTAGCATCTAAAGAAGAGGAAAACATGATACAAGTTTATCTGTCATGTATTGTATAGGCAAAAGAAAGATTTTAGGAGAGTGAAGGAAAGTGATAATTTTTTTCCGTGACTTAACTTGTGTGTTAGATGAATTAAGTAAGTGTTATATGAAACTAGTCTCCACTTTTTAGCCATGCTTGTCAGTGGCCCCAGCCTCCTGCCCAGATTAGGACACAAACTGGCTCTGCTGGCTCTGCATCACTGTTCCACTGCCACCTACAGTATCACACTGTTCTTTCCAGATGTCAGCATTAATTAATATTAGCACTTGCCAAAAATACAAGAAATATTCTTCATGGACAGTCTTGTGGATTGCATTCTCGTTTTCATTCTGAAAATGTTCCCTTCCCATTTTTTAACAGGCTTTAGTATCTAATAATTTGCTCCTATCAGGCTAGAGACATTTGAAACAGAGGCAAGGTTCTTTCCTTAGTTTAGTAGGGAAAAAATACAGCAAGTGTCTCAGGTTATTGTGTTCTTTATTTACAGTTCTAAGTTTTTTCCATTTCACCATCTAACAATATTTATTACTCATAGGTGACATCTCAAGAAAACCTTTATATCCACCTCTTCCACCCCGACCAGGAAGCCACGGTGATTCTGGTAAGGATGTTTTCTCTATAGAAAATCTTAACATGATGAGCAGTTCAGATAAGCAACTTTGAACAGTTTATTTTATTATTTTGTTATTAATCATTTTAATCATCCCTTCCCACTCTCCTTTTTGTAATCACTGTTTCTGAGCAAGTATTTGGAAAGATTTTCTGAGCTTTAGTATTGGTAACAACAAGCATATCTACCCTACCTGCCAGCATGGGCCCCATCTTCTGCTGTGATTGTAGTGACCAGCTGTGGACAGACAGGTCCATGGATGGACAGGATGGACAGGTCCATCTAGGAACTACAAGTTGAATTCCCTCTGAGGGAGCAGCTGGGATTTGAGATATCTATACTACATGAATTAGTGCTTCTCAGAGCTTGAACTGACACATCCCACCGGTGTCTCTGTGGATGCACACAGGTGGGCCAGTTAACAGAAGGGTGCTTGCACATTTCCCCCTCCTTGGGCTGAGATTTAATTTATTGTCAGATATATATGTCTTCCTGTGCTCAGAATGCACTCATGGCTTCACGAAGCATCAGTTTTAGTTCTCCATCTTCCAGGTGCATTTGAATGGGCCCCCCTAGCCCATCCACCAAGTGCATTTTCAAAACTCCCTCACCTCTCCCAAGAACATTACAAAGAGACTGGACAAGGTAGCTGAAGGGGTGCCACTGTTCAAATAATTTTGCAACAGAAATCCTGATCTTTATCTTGCAGGAGGCTTTAATGACTTAGATCTCCTTGATGGAAAGCCATTACCACCACATCTCTCAGGTAGTATTTGCCAATTCCCCTTGCAGCTTCTCTCTGCTATCTAGTTTTGCTATAGAAGAAATCTGTTTGTCAGTAAAGGAAATGTACAAGACTGATAACTTTATTTAAAAGCATTGTCTTTCTCCACAAATCATAGCTTTGAGCCTAAAACTCTTAAGTCACTTGAAATCTATCCCTAAGCACTTTGCAGGATTAAGCCAGAATCTTGCAGGATTAATCCTTCTAAATTCAGCTAGGATAGTCCCAAAGCAAGGGGCTCCTGCTCATAACTGAAAATATATGCACTGAACCTATGATATTGGTTTAAATTAATGATAAATCATCTGCTTTTCTGGTAGTAGACAATAACAAGAATTCAGTATTGGCCTCCCATTTCCTTTGAAATGAGTTTGATGTAGACACCTGAGTATTATCCTTTTCTTAGAAGACAGTATTATTATACTTAAAGAATGAAGTTGCAGACAGAGGGAAGGTTATCCCTCCTACCAAAGCAGCTGTCAGTCAGGATTAGAATCTTTCTCATAGAGCTCTGCTGCAGCTACCTAGTTTGGCTTTTTGCATGACTTCCTTCTTAAAACATGCCAAAAATATTTCTTGATGAAACTCTACGCTATATTTCAGGTGAAGGTGGGCGGCCTTTCAATCATGGAGGAGATACTGGTATAGTGAATAATTTATTCTGTACCTTGTTTCAGATCATCTTAAACAGTAAGAAGATTTTAGCATTGTAATAGTAGTATAAATGCTAAATGATGCTGTAAGACATTTTCACACGAGCTATAACATAATTTCTAGTCTTCTGTTGAATACTGTATCTGAAATTCCAATGTTACACAAAACAAGTTTTGCAAAAACGCATTTTTATTATTTATTATTTCAGTGCCTCTGGTAAAACTCTCTTTTTTTTCAGATTCGGGATTAATAGCTGGAGTTACATCACCTATAATTTCTGCTTTTGTAATATTGGTTGTTGGATCGATAGCAGCCTACTCAGCTTACAAGAACAAGAAGCTTTGTTTTAAACCACAAGGTAAGAACAAATTAGCTTCCCCATTTTTGAGTTGATTCGCTTCTGAAGCAAAGGGGGATTTTACAAAAAAAAACAAAAACAAAAACACAAAAACCAGTGAGAACAGAAATAGGTCAGCGATGAGGGTTTTTGAAAATCTTATTTCCAGAAATGGTCTCACTGGTCTCTCACCGGTCTGTGAGAGATATTTGTAATTAATATTCTCTGTCTTTATCTAGGACAACCATAGGAAGCTCCAACAGGCCCAAAAGACACATGTAAATGACAAATACTTCATGAAAGGAGTAGGGAAGGAAGTATTGGGTAATGTGAGGGCCATGCAGATGAGCAGGGTTAATGGCAACATGTCCTAGGAAAGCCAGGTGATCCCAAAACAAAAGCTAGGCAACAAGTGAGATCCAAGGGCAAGCCAGGAAAGCCAAACATCAGTTCAGGACAGGGCTGGCGGCAGGTGCCCTCCAGGCACAGCTCGGGCAGGGAGCGATGGCCCACATCGGAGCGGAAGAAACGCCGCTAGGCAGAAAGCGGAGGCCCCAGGTGAGGCACCTCCCCACGAAGAAGGGCCATGTGTGCACACAGGAAGGGTCACCTTTTTCCTGTGTTTCTACAACAGAAGCATCATGCCAAATTCTGCTGAAGGGCTGTAGTCCGTGATGCTGTAACCCGCTGGACTACAACAGGGGGAGTGGGACAGAGATAACAGGAGATGATGTGTATTCGTCTCCGGAGACACAATAGATGGTCTTGCTTGATACTTGAGAGGACTAGAGTGAAAAAACACAGAAAGTTTATACATTGAAGAACTGGTTAAGAATATGTGTAGCAGAAATGCTGAATTTTCAATCTTCATTTTTTTAGGCCGGGCTACAGTGTAATCTACTGCAAGTTACCCAGTGATGATGGGCCTCTCTGGTTGGCGATGTTACCTTACAGATTGCTCTTCTACACTGGTGGTTTCCTTGGTCCAGAAAAGGAGCATTCAGCCACGGACTTGACAAACTTGTATTCTATTTTGTTTTTATCATCCTGATAAAGAAAAGTTCATCAATCTTTCTCTGAACATTTTGTTGAGACATTGCAATTCTCTTTTACCTGATGTTACTCTACCACCTTGAAGTAAAGGATGTGCTTGAAGATTAAAGCTGAGCTTAAAGGTGTGTGGATAGTATTGCACTAGCTGATGTATATTAATAAAGGTGGAATAGGTATTTTAATTCAGAAGTTATTTTAGATAATAAAAACCCAAGAAATCAAGTATAAGTACGTGAAATTTAATGATTTTGGTTTCTGATCATTATAGTCATTAAATATTTTATTTCTTTTCATAATTAGCCAAAATATATGATCCTTCTCATAGAAAGAATAAGGCAATTGTCATTTCTAGCTACACATTTGGGGTTTCTTTAGTATATATCTGTACTGGCTATAATGTTTATGGAACAGTTGAAGCTGCATAATTTAAAAATCATGCCTTTATTTTGTATATAATGTGTGAATTCTTACAAAATAGAGCTATAGATGAAAATATATTAATTCTTAATTTCAAATACAGTATGAGAAGTATATGCATATCGAAGAACCTGTTTAAAAAAAGTCCCAAAACATGAGGAGTACTCTTTCTTTTTTTTATTTTTTAAGATGGCATTTAGGTCTTCTCAAGACCTGGAACCTGAAGTAAATTTTGTTTTTTTTTGAAAACTTAGATCCTCTTCTAGAAGTCTTCATACTTAGTAGTATCTGGCAGTTCTTTTTTAATATAGGATCATATTATAGGTAATTTCTGTAAAGCAAAAATAGGCACAGAGTTTTGGGAATAATTTTGAATTAGTCTTTGATATTTTATTTTGTAAAATTTACATCACACCAACTTTTGAATTTCAAAAATATCTTTTAGCAGAGGGATAGTTGATACTGAGAACTTTTCTAGCAAGGCTGTTTCATTTTCTCCTCTTGTTCCTGACTAGCTAAACAGTGCTAATAAATGATCTCATGTAGACATCCTTTTATCAATAAAAAATAGCATTTTACCCAGTTTCCCAGATACTAGCAAAAGAATTAAATGCCGTTGAAAGTTAGCAAAACTAGTAGAGTTTACTGGCATAATTCTGTGATACAACTATTTTAGCTAATCCTTCTAAACATAAATGAAATCACTGTGCTTTGATATTCATCTTACAAACAAAGCATGTTTTGTCTTACTAGTGAAGTTGGCTGTAGATAAACATGATTTTGTGTTTATTAAATTGTTAAGAGAAAGATGTGACCTAGGAAAGTGCTCTTCTTATAAAATAATATTCTAATTCTCTTTGAAACAGTTGCTGAGGAGAGAAATTATCATAATCTTTATTTTTATCCTGAAACTAAGAAAATATGTTTTTGTTTAAATATGGAACCCTCCTGACAACACACAAAGGAAAGAGCATGTCTGTGGCTATCACTTTGAACTTCTGAGCAACAACGCATGTTTTAATTTGGCTTTCAAAGATGCAAAATATTTCTTTAAAAAATAAATCTTCTCTGTTAATAGTTGTAACAGATTGGTACATGTTTTGCCAAGTACACATGTAGTTTGGTTGCTAAATTATTCTACTATGCAGCGAAAGGACCATCTGAAGATCTGATAATCCTACTTAGGAAAAAAAAAAGAGTCTTGTAGCTGTCAGTTCAGTTGATTAAAAGTAAAAAAAAATACTGAATTTGCTTCTTTCTCTTGAAAATTTTCAATAAACACTGTGTTTTATCTAAGATACGCTGAGTTTTGTTTGGTACTTTCTAGGAAATATGCTAGCTGGTGCCCTTTATGCAAATTTATCTATATTCTGCTAGAGAAAAGAAAAGAAAAATGCTTCAAACAGAAGACTTTAGAGAAAAAAATTAAAACAGCTTAAGAATCTGACTTTAATGTGTTCACAGTATTTTCAAAACAATGTCTTATTTGGTTTAAAGTGTCTGTGCTAATAACACTAGCCAAAAAGCAGATTTTGTTGAGGAGAATTTGAGCAAAAATTGCTTGCGAGAGTTGGGCAACCATCTCCTCCCTGCTGACTTCTAATCCTCTGAAGCTGCTTGGTCTAAGGACATCAGTGTAACCCCAGCCCCAATATACCTGTGTGCAGGTATACTTCTCAGTGTTTACTTCTCAGCAATTGTTTAACTAACTGAGTGTTTATTTAGGGAAGCTCTCAGTATTTAAATGTGAGGGGGAAGGAAAAGAAGGTAAAACCAGTTGTTAGACCATGGTAACCCTAGCCTGTACTACAGTCTTTGCCATTTTAAGTCTAGTCTACACTGTTAAAAAAATTGTGGCACACAAAGTATAGTAGAAATCCATCCAAATGTAGACATAGGTTTTGTTACCAGGATAATGCTTTTAATTTTTATAAAAAAGTCCTCTAATTGAAACAAACCTGCCAGTAAAGGCATCTACAATAGCAATAATTCTGTTTGTTAGAACAGAATATTGCTTAGGTGACCAGTCTATCTGAGATGCTTAAAGCATTTTCTGAGATTTCTTTTTTTTGTGTGTGTGTGTGTGTGTGTAATTAATGAAGTTTTATTTTCAGTGCATTTATGTCCCTTCTTCGTTCAACTCCACTGCCACTACTAGAGCAATGATATCTTCTTCTCCGACGGACTGTTAGGATATTCCCAGTGTGTCGTCTGCTGCAGCCTGGATGCTGCAGCATCACCTGCAGACTGTGGAAAAATCAAGGTTTAACGGTTGAGCGGTACGAGCATTTCCCTCACAGGTTCTCTGTGTAAAGTCACTTTCCTCCACTAAGTAGCCGTGACTTTCACAGAAGGCGGTGACGTTAAATCGCTACTACACTACACCAGCCTCAAACCACCTTCCAAGCGGACTGCGTGGCCGAACTGCACGTGCTTCACTGCATTCACTTTGAAATTACCGGGCAGAACCCGCTCTCTGTAGGTGCGCGCATGTCGCGGCGCGCCCGCGGGCCCCCCCCCAGCCGCAGGGCTTGCGGCAGCTCCCGACACGGAGCACACGGAACCCCGCTGCGGAGTCACGCTGCGGCAAACCCATTTGCCCCAGTCACCATAAGCCACGCTGAAGGCACTGTGCTGGTTCTCTAAATCCTCCTTAGCACATTCTGCAACTTAAACTATGAAAGATGTCTTCATTTTCCTTAAGGACTGCACGGGAGAGCTTTCTGTAGCTTGTTTTCCAGCCTGGTGGGGTTTTGAACATGGCCGTGTGGGGGTGTCCGAAGAGAGAAGGTGGTG